CATTTGCCTTTCTTTTCTTCTTCCTTCCCCTCTCTCCTTATTTTTCCTTCCTTGCTCTCTTCCCATCTTTCATTCTTTTTCTTTCCTCTTTATCTTTCTCCTTTCTTGCCCCTTCTTACATGCTCAAATACAAAAGGGGAAACATTTCTCTTTTTGTTTTGTTTTTAGTTAATTCTGCTAGCCCTCTACCAGTGAAAGCAGAGCCTAGGGGCTGTGCATGCCCCCCCCCCCGTACCCCGTTTTTGCCCACGACAGTCTCCTGCAACCATCCAGTGAAAACAGAGCTTGGAGGGGCTGTGCATGACCACCCCCCCGTGTCCTATTTTCACTGGCAAAGGCACCGTGGGATGGTCCTTTGCTGTTTCCACCTCTGATATAGAGCAATCTTTAAGATGTGTGGATTTCAACTCCCAGAAGTCCCTTCATCTCAAAGTTGCTGAGGTTGAGAAACATGGATTTAGAGAAAGGATGTGAAAAGGGGAAACAACTTAAATTATGGAATGTCTTGTGTGGATATGGTGTTGAACATGTGCTGCTAAATGCAAAGGCTTGGTATGATAGAAATAAGGAAAACCGTGCAAGAATAATTTTATAGGACAAAAAAGTGCATAATGTCCCCTTTGTCATTTAGTGCCTTTTGGAACAAAAAAAACCTTGGCTCTGTTTGTGGCACAGGGATGTCAGATGGGGGACATGAAAGTGTGTGTTTCTGTGTACAGATGAAACTGGGTTGCTGACTGAGAATCTGAATGATTTTCAACAAACAGCGCCAGGAAACGGATCCGAAAATTAATGCATCAAAGATGAAGGTATTTTCTACCAGCACCAAGGTGTTTCTGTTTGAAAAGGAAAATGGAATACACAATTGCAAGCGAAACATAAATAGTGAAAAGCTGGAGCAAATAGATGGATGTGTGTGCCTTGCTAGAATGTTTGTAATGCTGGAAAAATAAATATTTAGATGTTCAAGTTTTGGTAGAAAGCTTGTGGTGGGTATGTGGTCAGTTACATAAATATTTGTTCCATTATAGAAAAGTGGTTGGTCAGAGAAGTTATGAAGAATTGGAAGTACAGAGGGAAATAATCAGAACAGGGAGTTTCAAACGTGTGCTGTCAAATGACAAAATAAATTGTTAGGAATGAATATTGAAGCAGGTAGAGGGTGTTATTGATAGAGGGAGGAAGAAGGAAGATGGAAAACAAATATCTGAAAGAAGAGTGAGTAGAGTGGAAGGAGAAGAGAAGTCATGGTTATGTGGAGTTGATGAGATCCTGATAAACAGAGAGACGAGAAGTTTAAAGAACAACATGGAATATGTGCTTTCGTTATGCAAGAAAAAATAATAATTTGCAATGATAATGGAGTACAGAAAGGCACAGGGAATGTCATTTACATAAGTCTACCTCATTATTTTATCCTGATGGTGCAGTGGTTAAATGCGGTACTGCAGGCAAATGCGGCCCACAGCTTGAAGTTCAATCCTGATGGGTTTCAAGATCAACTCAGCCGTCAATTCTTCCAAGGTTGATAAAATGAGGACTCAGACTGCTGGGGGCTGACATTTGTAAATCGCTCAGAGACCGCTGTAAAGTATGTAAATCTAAGTACTATTGCTATTGCTATTATCTCCTATTTTTCCCTCTTTAAATTTGAGAATAGAATAGAATAGAATAGAATAGAATAGAATAGAATAGAATAGAATAGAATAGAATAGAATAGAATAGAATAGAATAGAATAACAAAGTTGGAAGAAACTTTGAAGGTCTTGTAGTCCAACGCCCTGCTCAGGTAGAAAATTCTATTACCATTTCAGTCAAATGGTTGTTCAATCTCTTCTTTAAAATGTCCAGTGTTCTGGAGGTAAGTTGTTCCACTGATTAATTGTTCTGTCAGGAAATTTATCTTTAGTTCTAGGTTGCTACTCTCCTTGATTAGTTTCCATCCATTGTTTCTTGCCCTCAAGTGCTTTGGAGAATAGCTTGACTCTCTCTTCTTTGTTATTTCTTCTTCTTCTTCTTCTTCTTCTTCTTCTTCTTCTTTTTCTTCTTCTTCTTCTTCTTCTTCTTCTTCTTCTTCTTCTTCCTCTTCCTCTTCCTCTTCCTCTTCCTCTTCCTCTTCCTCTTCCTCTCCTCCTCCTCCTCCTCCTCCTCCTCCTCCTCCTCCTCCTCCTCCTCCTTTTTCCTATTGTTATTGTTATTTTGTACCCTACATATTTTAAAGTAATTATAAAAATCTGTTCTGGACATCTCTGCCACTTGTTGATGGGCCTACTAATATTTCCTATGGAATTACAAATTCTCGTTTTTAAAAAGAGGGACAGCTTCTACTCTTCTCAACCTCCAGAGCTATCTTCAAAGTAGATGTTAATCAGGAAATGGACCAAGCTTCATTCCTGGGATCAACTCTCAGGCTATATACAGACAGGAATACAAATATATAATTTCCATTTATTTTTTCTTGACAGTGTCTCGTTAATCTTCCTGAAATTTAAAATTTGTACAAAATGCTGCTTAATATTCCAGTGAACCTTATTGTTTCTTGAATCATGTGTGAAAACATTTATTCTAGAAGGATGTATCTGTCAGCAGAAAACACTATCTTGATAGCCAACCGAGAATGCTATTTTGTGCTGATAGAAGCTTGGCCAAGCCAAAGTACAGCAGCTGCGTTTAAGACACAGCTCATTACTAAAGGAATCATTTCAATCTAAACCAGAGCAGCCAGATATCTCTCTAATCATGCAGTGTCTATCAGCCAAATATTGTAATGTTATATTCAGCCATACAGATCAAATTGAGTGCAACAAGCGTGGGATATGTTTTATCTGGGAAATCATGGTTTTGTTCTTTTTCTCTTTTCATTTACTTTTTAGGAAATGACTTTTGATTCCTTTTGCTTAAATATTGTGCAAGCATACGTATAAGATACATCTGTTTCTGATACACAATTCAGAAACCCGATGAAGGTAGGAAAGAACTTGATTCCAAGTCTTAAATGAAACCCCTTGACTATACAGCCTACATTCCCGGAAATCTGAATTCCACCTTTGGCGGCAATTCATTACATTATGTTATATTCTTCCTTTCCAATTGGACTTATTTTATTTTACATTCTATTATATTGTATATTTGTATGACACAAAATACCTACAGGTAGTTCTCAATTTATGACTATAATTGATCCCAAAACCTCTGTTGTTAAGTGAGACATTTGTTAACTGAATTTTGGCCCAATTTATAACCTTTCTTGCCCTAGTTATTAAGTGAATCATTGCAGTGGTTAAGCAAGTAACTCTGTTGTTAAGTGAATCAGGCTTCCTTATTGACCTTCCTTGTGAGAAGATCCCAAAAGTTGATCACATGATACTGAAATTGTCATAAACGTGAGACGGTTGCCAGACATCTTAATTTTGATCATGTGACCATGGGGATGCTGTAATGGTCATAATTATGAAAAAAGGTCATAAGTCGTTTTTTCAGTGCTGTTGTAACTTTGAATATATTTCTCATCGTGCTGAATGATGACTCAAATCAGAAAGTTATGGAATAAGAAAACTGATATTAAAATTAAAAACCAATGATACCCCAAATGTAAATTTTCTCATACATTTTACTAGCCAAATTTTATTTGGTTAGATGTCCTAATGCATATCTTTATGTGGGAATCCTAACACAAACTTGTATATTTTGTTTAAGAAAGCAGAAAAATCTCCTATAGGATATTGGGTTGAACTCCTTTTGAAGTTTGCAATACACAACAGCTTGAATCATTTGGCAATTTATTTTTCTACCGGATGTTGTGATATTTATGCCCGATTGATGTAACAGCTGGTCCTGAAGTAACACCTGTTTCCATCTGCCAAATTATTTTCATTCTCAAACCAATCTGTTAACTTTTCATGTAAACGTCTGGCATAGATATGTTGCACATATTGTTCAAATAAAAGTCTCTCACTAGTCAATGGATTAATACTTATGCTATGATTTCATAATTACACTATCTTAAAATACATGCTTAATAGCTTCTGCAACACAAAACCAAAAGGGAAGTCTTGAAATGTTATCGAAATGCATGAACAGTAACCAGTTCAATCCTTTTATTCATAATATTGCTTTATCAACACTGAAAGCTATTTGTACCTTCTTTATCTGCTTTCAAGTGTTATAGTAACAAAAAAAAAAAAAAGGAAATCAGATGTTTCATTAAAAGGTTGGTTTGTTTTTACGCCCTGATAATATACTGTATCATATCAGAACTTCTTTAGCTTGATATAACTGTGAATCCCTTTTGTATCTTCTGTGCATTCTACCTATCTTTGGATTTCATGCTGTGACTTGCACTTGTTTCAGAAGCACCAAGGAGCTTCCGGGTTGAAAGGATTAGCTGGTGACATCATCTGGGGACATCTACTTGGGGGCTCCTTTCATGTCCCCATCAGGAGCTGGAGCGAAGGACAAGAAATCAACCCTGCCCAACAGCAGCTCTTGGATCTCAAATGTGGGTTGCTGATCTCCTGCCCAGCAATTGAACCACTCGAGACACCGTACTCATATGCTGTGCTGATAAGACATATTAGGATTTCTTATCACTGGATATCTGTGACTATGGAGATTTTCAGTCATCCAGGTCATGGTTGTCCCAAAGACATTTTTTCCAGAGGCAACTGGACTTCCTGGTTTTTCTTTGAAGATGTTTCACTTCTCATCCAATAAGCTTCATCTAGAATTGAAGAAGCTTCTTGGATGAGAAGCAAAACATCTTCAAAGAAAAACCAGAAAGTCCACTTGCCTCTTGAAAAAAGCACCTTTGGGATATCTGTGAGCAACCTTCATAGTTTGTGTGCATCATATATATCTTTTGATTTTGCACTCTTAACACTAAGGCATATCAGGACTTCCTTACTACTACTATATCTGTGAGCAAACTTCACAGCTTCTGTCCATTCTACATATCTTTGGATTTCATGCAGTGATGATAAGGCATATCAGCACTTCCTTACCATGGTGTAACTGTGAGCCACCTTCATAAGTTCTGTGCATCCTTGAGCATCTGCAAAAGCCCGGATTCCCAAACAGTTGGATGGATGTAAAAGTTTCATGAGGAAATGACAACAGACTTCAACTACTTGAGGGAGTTGAAGAAGACACGCAGCTGCCAGGAGGTTTTCAATGGTATCTTCCTTAAGTTCCAAACAACCTGGACAAAAGATGAAGAAACACAATCAGTTTGCTACTCATAGATTTGTACATAACTTGGAGTCAGGTATTAAGATCACAAAATACATAAAGAAATTCTCAGCCATTATGACACCAGTGGAAACACAACTTCGTGCAATATTTTAATGTTTTTACTTTCTCTGAATGCTTCATTGGGTTCTCCTTTCTCAAGTATCAGTAGATTATCCACAGCGGTTCAGAATAATCTTGGCATACAATATTACCCCATGGTATTTGCATTGCACTATTAAATAAATTAAACATTTGAAGTTTTGAAAAATACACTCCTGTGAGATCACCACCACAATATTTTCTTTTCTCCATGGGGTGAAACTAAAGAAAAAGTGGGACTAACTCTACCTGTGTTTTAATGTTCACTTTTTAGAAGTTTTAACTAATAGATTAAAAAGCACATAGTTCATACATCCTTTTGCAATCTTCAACTTTACAATCTAGCTGAAAGATACCAATAACTGATATGCAGATTTAAGTCTAAATAAAATGAAAAACATAATTGAATACTCATTTATCAATTTATCAATCTCACTAGAAAGCTAATCAGTTTTAGACAAATAAATCACAAAAGCAAAATATGAACATTTACTCAAGTCTAGCCCTTTATAATAGATGAAATGGCCAATTTTAATTTTTAAAATTGCATCTCTCCCTTTTTCAAATAATAGGCTTCATGTAACCACATTATATGCTGTAATGCAAAATGTTTAATGTTTGTAAGCTGCCCAGTCACCTGTACCTGAGATGGATGGCATACAAGTCAAAAAACAAACAAAAACTAACAGTTCTAGTCTAAAAGGACAAATTTCATCATGGAAATTAACCAATGGAATGGCTTGCCTTCAGAAGTTGTGGCCCATTGCTAGAAGCTTTTAAGAGATTGGACAGCTTTTAAGAAGATACTGAAATGGTATAGGATTTCCTGCTGAAGCCGAGGGCTGGACTAGAAGACCACCAAGGTCACTTCTAATTATGTTATTCTACATTATAAAACATGCATTTCTTTTTTTGTGGAAAAGGAGGGGGAATTAATTCAGAGCCTAGGTAGATGGAGTCCTAATGAGCAATCACTTAAACAACAATGTATGGCAACAGCCAAAAAAAAAGGCTAATGCAATTCTAGGCTGCAGTAACAAGGGCATAAAACCGAGATCATGTGAAATGCTAGTATGACTTTACAAAGCTTTTAATAAGGCCATACTTGCAATACTGCATCCTCCTTCTGGCCACCACAATATAAAAAAGATGTTGAGATTTTGGAAAGAGCGCAGAAAAGAGCAACAATGATGATTAGGGGACTAGAGACTAAAACATACAAAAAAAAAAAACCCAAACAGTTGCAGGAACTGGGTATGTCTAATTTGGTGAAAAGGACTAGGGGAGACATGATAGCAGTATGCCAATATTTGAAGGGCTCATACAAAGGGGGGTCAAGCTATTCTCCAAAGCACCTGAGGGCAGGACGAGAAACAATGGGTGGAAACTGATCAAAGAGAGAAGCAACGTAGAATGAAGGAGAAATTCCCTGACAGAACAATCAACCAATGGAGCAACTTGCCTCCAGAAGTTGTGAATGCTCCAACACTGGAAGTGTTTAAAAATATGTTGGATAACCATTTATCTGAAGTGGCGTAGGGTTTCCTGCCTAGGCAGGGGGTTGGACTAGAAGATCTCCAAGATCCCTTCCAACTCCGTTATTCTATTCTAATTGTTGCACATTTTCCAAAGCATCAAAAGGCTAGATAAGGAACAATGGATGGAAACTAACCAAGGAGAGAAACAACCTAGAACTAAGGAGAAATTTCCTAATGATGAGAGCAATCAACCAATGGAATGGCTTGCCATCAGAAGTTGTGGGTGCTCCATCACTGGAAGCTTTCAAAAAGAGTCTGGACAATCATTTGTCTGAAATAGTATAGGGTCTCCTGCTTGAGCAGAGGGTTGGATTACAAGACCTCCAAGGTCCATTTCAACTATATTCTATATTCTATTTTCCTTTGTTTTACCCCAGCTTCCGGTCTCAAATAAATTATATCTTTACTTGTTTTTGTTCAGTTAGTCTAAGTCTAAAATTGGAAGTCATTCCAAAGTCATGGTAGGATGACTAAACAGGCATTTTGTGTGGTAGAGAACTGGGTTGTACAGAATTACTTTGCTAATTCCATCTGTGTTTACCTTCCAGACTTCCAATCAAGTCTACGGTCCCTTGCTAACTTGGTTCTATCTTGCTGCGCTTCCAAACTCAGATGAAGAGAACCAGCTCCTGTGACCTACTGAAACTAAACAAGGTTGGATTTGCTGCATTTCCAAGAAATCAAGCTCAATGGATTAGATTAGAACTAAAAGAACTGAAATGTAACCAGTGTTACACTAGTTTCATTGAATTCGGGTGGATTTAAATCATAATTTAACTTAAACCCCCTGATTCACAATATCTAATATACTTGTAAGTATTATTACTTTGGATCTAGCTCAAAATCAATAAGTAAGAATGAGATGTTAAATCCCAAGGCTTCCAAGTTTGAAGCAGGAATTGATTAAAGTGAGAATGAGAAAAATGCATGAAGTAAGGTGAGAAGATTTACTGAACGTAATATGAAAATAAAGGCTATTGAGGACTTACAGATGTTAATAAATTTGCTTCAATTTTTGTCTACCTCTGAGTAAACATTTTAATTTATTCTGGTCACCAAAGCATAAATTAAGTTAATCAGAGTGATAAATATTTCAGATGTCTGCCTCTTTATTTAAAACTAATCACGTAGGATAATTTTAGGATAAATTGGCCACTGGGAGAAAAAATAAATAAAGCTGTAAGATTTAAAACTCTGATGATATCCAAGGCCTTAAAGGCCACTTGCTAACTGAGATTATACTTGACATTGATGCTGCAACATCCGTCATACTAATTTTTATATTTTGGTTTAGAATGACATCCAACCTTGGGGAAGAATGAAGTAGAAGAGAGTCCATTTATAAATATCTGAGGAAAAAAATAAATATTCTTCACATAACAGAGGGAAAAAAATAAAGGTAACATACTCTCCGTTTATAAAAGTCCCAAGGGTGCTTTTTCAAAAGGCAACTGGACTTTGTTTTTCCTTGAAGATGTTTTGCTTCTAATCCAAGAAGCTTCTTCAGTTCTGACTGAATGGTGGAGGAAGCAAGAACTTATATTCCTTGCAGTCCTCTGGTCGTTAGCACTCTCTCTGAGAGTGGTTGAGGCCACTTGGAGGTTTATCTGTGGCTCCACAATCAGCTGAATAGTACAAATGGGTGTGGAATCTTCTTGGAACTGCTGAAAGGACTGTGTTATAAACAGGAGATTGCACTATTCAGAAGAGCCTGAACCTCCAAGTGGCCTCAACCACTCTCAGAGAGAGTGCTAATGATCAGATGATTGCAAAAAATATAAATCCTTCCATCCTCCACCATTCAATCAGAACTGAAGAAGCTTCTTGGATGAGAAGCAAAACAACTTCAAGGAAAAATAAAGTCCATTTGCCTTTTGAAAAAGCACCTTAGAGACAACCATGACTTGGATGACTGAGAATCTCCACTGGAGATTCAGTGGATAAAAATACAGTTTGGGATATCAGAGTAATGCCAAATCCAATATTAATTATTAAGTGTGGAGAAGTCTAATGTAATTTTGGGATCCCTTTCTAACATGATATTGTGGGTACCCAGATTGTTGGGGGCAATATGCTGACTCTGTAAACCACTTAGAGAGGGCTGGAAAGCTCTGTGAAGTGGTATATAAGTCTAAGTGCTATTGCTATTACTATTCTCAAATGACTTGAGGAAACTTTATCTTCCTATCACCTGCTCTTCCAAGTTTTGTGGTCGGGATGCTTGAAGTAGATGCAGACTTAAACTAATAGCTTAGCAATTATGTACCAACATGTGAAAACTATTCATTTTCATCCTAGCAAGGTTAAAACATTCTGCTGTTTCTATCATATTACTCATTTGATGTTGTATAACAGTGTACCTTGGGTTTACAGAGGATAATAGCTTTACACGATGCTTTGATTACTACACTGTGGTTTGAAATAATTGGTTTAGAACCGAAAATTGCCAAAGACACATAACACAGCAACAGTAAGGAGATTCTTGAAAGAATTATTGTTTTGTTTTAATGACTCCATAGATAGATAGAAGATACCTGAGCTTAAATGTTTGACCAAATGTGGTTAGACCCAATGAGTTAGGTGTTTTTTTAAAAGCAGAACTAAAATCAAGGACAATATTTCCTTAGGTCCAGAACCAGGATTCTTGAAAAAGTTTAGTAATATCCTATTTTTGGCCTGATGTGGAAGAAAAAAAAGAGACTAAAATAAGAAGCACACCTTATGAATGATTCTATTTTTTTCAAGAACCTAAACAAAGAAAAAAAAAAAAAGCAAAATTGCATTTTATTTTTGTATCCCTATAGAAATTATGTGAAACTTACTCATTTCAACAACCAAACGTTTCACTTTAGGGCTCTTTCGGAGCCAGAGTAAGATTTTAAAATTCTTGTAACTTTAGTTATTCTGGTTTTTTTTTTAAATGCCAGCTCAGTTCCTGCAATTGCTAGATAATGGTAGTATTGTGTTTTTATGTTGAATTGTTTTGTTAGTTGGGTGACAGAATTTGTTTTCTTTATTGTACTGCCAAGATGGTGTAACTTACCTTGGATGACACAAAAGAATTTTCAATAAAAATAAGCAAATTGATGCTACAATCAGAGGGTTTTTTAAAATATATTTTGTTAGGCGTTTGCAAGGCATTGAGCAAATTAGATATTTACAGAGTATCTTTGAGAACTCCGAAAGATGTCTATAGGCTCTCTTGGATGCAGCCTTAAACTTTTCACCCCAGGTGTTAAAACAAACAAAGCAAAATGCAATGAAATCTGAAGACTTCTAGACCTTTTATCATAATTATGGTAGATTGCTCTGTTTATGAGGAGATTTAAGA